TAGTTCACAGATGCTATCTCACAACTTTTGAGTTGCTTTAATCAAAAATTATGATTGTGTGTTATTAGATTCGTGATTTCACCTAAGATTAGTTTATGATTTCGGCTAAGTTCCATAAACAAATGGTTCGAAAATTATACAAGCTTCCGTAAGCTTGGTAAGCGAAAATCTTAATAACTATTTAGATATTCAAAATTTGAAGATAGGCCCTTGAAAGGCAGAAAATTTTCTGAAAAAAACTTATTCCTTCGAATGTAAATATCAGGGAATAAGTACATGCTGAATAGTTTAGGCAATGTTCTGTCTATTGGAAAATAACTGTCTCTCGACTGTTGTTGAATTTCAACAACAGTACGATAGTAGGCAAAGGTTTTTTTGGAATAGAGCTATGTCGATTACCAAACTTTTGAAAAAATTCAGATCATTCCTGACATTGCTCAAAATCTCATCAATCCTGTTCTATAGACCATCTTTAATGTTTCATCAGCTCTTAAATTTAAGTTGAACTCTTAACTCAAACGCCCTTCGATATCTCAAGGTAACTAAAACTATACGAGGCGCTAATTATTTTCATAGTGCCATACTGCGACAGCATTTATGTCCTGCCTTACTTCAATCCGATTCCCTCCATCTTCAACGAATCCAAAACAGTTGCCTCCGTTTTTCTTTTTTCTTTCGAAAATACAACTACAAATCAGCGGTCATGGAGAAGAGGTTGGCTGCAACTAGAGAAACTCAGAATACTGCACCTACTCATATACACCCACAAAGTCTTGTACAGCGGAATGCCATATTATTTAATAAACAAATTGAAGTCTTTCTTGAATATTAATAGCTTTTCCACTAGAAACAGGTCGTTGCTGGTCATTCCTGAACACAGATCCACTGTTTTTACAGGCAGTTTTTCACACGAGTATAGCTGAATTCTATAATCTCCTGTCCAGTAAATTCAGGTCCTACACAATGAAAAACTCTAAGAAAAGACTCAAATTGTATTTATTTGACAGTTGAAAAATATCATGGTTTTAATGTGAACTATTTCGAGATCTGCTAAACCAGCTAATATTTTGGAGATATATTATAATAATAATTTTTGTCATTGAATGAAACATTATTTTTTGACTTTCTGCTGATTGCATCCATCATTTTGCAATCCAATTTGTTGCACACTTGATGAACCACACGATATATTTCGATTTTAACATTATATGAATTTAATTAGTTTAGCGGGAGATGACTGCTTGGCGGGAATTGGTCATTTTTCTCTTGATAAGGGTTTTCCATATGTTACGTATCTCTATGTTAGCTTGTCTGAATACATTGTTGGATAACATGTATGCGGCTTCTTTGAATTTCCTCCTAAACCAATGCCCCTCCCTGTGTATGAACTCCGCTTGGGACCACTCGATGTTATGTTGATGGGTCCAAACATGCTCTGCTATTCCTGATTTGCTGGTTTCCCCTCGCTGTGTGTGTTTCTTGTGCTCGACATTGCGAACTTTCTATGGCCTCTTAGTTTCATCGATATAGGATTTTCCGTACTCACACTCCGCACTTTTTTTCTTAATATAATTATTACACACATCGGAAAAGTCTGGGGATATTTTTATAACATACTAAATATCATAAAAATAAATGCATGAAGTCGTTTAATTTCGATTAAATTGGTACACTCGACCACCCTGTAGATTTCTATGGGTTGAACAAAGCCTGCAAAAATTTAATAAATTTTGTTGTAAGTTACATTCGTTTAATAATCACCCGTCAACTTTTTTTCCCTAAAGCGATCTAAAAAAAATTATTGCCACTTTTAAAAATATCCCTAGACTTTTCCGATGTGTGTATTTTTAGCTATTCACTTTTCATTCTTCTTTTTTTATCAGTTCTTTCAGGGATTTCAAATCATTTTATATAATACTAGTACTATGTTGCTGTATCGCTTCTGTTCCAATATTTTGACAAGCTCAGAATCAACGAACTTAGGCGTGCGCAGCGTTATAGAACAGTGCTTTCAAAAATTGTACTGCAGCGCCATCTAGTGGCGAGTTACAGAAAAATTGATGGCCTGAAAACCTTCTCTATGAAAAATTACTCATACATTTCAAGTTTCATCACGATCGGTTGAGCGATGTAGTAGTTTATCACTTACCAACCAACCAACCAACCAACAAACATCCATTTTTTTATGTGAATACTGTATCATGTATAAACTCCATCACTTCCTGTTTTCATCTTTTTCATCTTTCAAAGGCGCATTATTATGATGCAAACATGTATCTCCATGATAAGTGGACCACCCTTGTATAGAGGATGGCAGTGTATCATGTTCCTCTTTCATATACAATATTGTGCAGTTGAAAATATCACTAAATGTGATTGATATTTTCAACAATTCACATTATATATTTCAAAAATATGAAACCAGTTTGGGGGAATATGTACAAGGGATCATGTTTGGTAAATATAATGAATTCAACAAAATGTTCTATCTCTCTCGCTGCAGTTGTATTTTATCAACTCTTTTCTCTACTTATTGAAATATTCATCCAACAATGATGACGTGTTGATGACATAATATAGTCGTCTTGATATAATCTTCAAGAGATGATGAAAACTGCATCAGCTGAAGACGGTAACTTAGTTGGTGAAACGCACGTCAGAGTATTGCAGTTCTGGTGAAAGTGAAAAGTGCATAGTCTTGGAATCTAAATGAGCTGGTTATTTTTCTACTGTATCTGTAGAGCACAACAGCTTCCCAGGGTCACCCAGGGTGATCCTGACAAGACTGCATACCATATCTTTAGGGATTAAGCATGGCTAGTTGGCTAGTTCCGCAATTGTCGAAGTCATCAGGCCGTGGGTGCCACTGGGTCCTAAAATTCTTAGTTCAGGCGCTAAAGAGTCGGCAATGCGATTACTTTCACTTTTGTCGTGCCCTTCAACCCACATCAGGATAATGTTATCATCTACCGAGGCTTTGGCTAAATCTTGGTGGCACTCTAGTACTAGCCCTGAGGTAACACGTTGTCTGTTCAAGGCTTATAGAGCTTGTTTACTATCAGTGCAAATTGTTATGTTTTTGTCAGGAATACCTTTCCTGGTTATTTCTTTTGTAGCGAATGAGTTACCAGGCAGTTCTATTTGAACCACGCTGGTATTTTTTCCCATGTCCCACTTAATTCTTAGGCTCAGTGATCTGAAGTAAACTCCATATCCTGAGCCTTATTTGGTTTTTGAGCCGTCTGTATATCTGCGTATTGTATTTGTAGCATTGACTCTGTATTCTGTTTCATATGCATTTTGTAGGGTTTATTAAACACAAATCTGAGTTCAGTTGCATCACTGGTTGCCTGCAGCAGAGGTAGCGCAGTAAGCGCTAGGCTTAGCCTCAATTGACCCATTCCTACTTTGAGGTTTACACCAGCCATGCGCAATAGTAACATGGTCATTAACGCAACCTCCTTAACGTACAGGTCCATCTAAATTCAAATATTGGAAGGATTTCTTGAACATTACCCAGTTGAAAACTGTTTATTCTTTCTTGATAGAGTCCCTACTATCTTATGGGATTTTGGGCTGGGGCGGGGTCAATGATTGCTTCTTGAACCAAGTACAGGTTTTGCAGAGATGGGTTCTGAAAATTATTTATGGCAAAAAGCTGACATTCTGACGCACTCTGTAATGAATCTCAATGTAGAGATTTGAGACAAATATTTGGTAACAAAATTTTACTTTATGTCAAAGCTAATAAAATTCAACTCACCCCTCATGAACATTCTTACAATACCAGAAGAGCTGATGCAATTTTCTCTCCCATAAGAATATATAGTTTGTTACCAAATGAGCTAAATATATCTCTTGATAAGTTATTTAAAAAGAAAATAAAAAAGTGGATTGTCAGTAATAGACCAATAATCAATACAATTTTCTAGCAAAGACTATAGAGAGAAAAAAAATTAATTACACCTATTACAACTAATTACAAGTGTCTGTGTCTATATGTCGTATTATCCAGTATTGAACGACGTTACTAGTCCAGTCATTATAGTAAGTTCACCTCGGAATTCGAGATACCCAGCTGTAAGTCTGTAAATACTTGTATATTGACACCCTAAAAGTTGTCTCAAAACCTACATATGGTAGGGTGTAAGCAACTATTAAATTTCAAGGTCAAAGGTCACAAAAATCGGTTTTTTGCGCTTTTTTTGGAAATATCTCATTTCCTATGGGTTTTTTGCTATTTGTATTTATTATCAATATTGTAGAATACAANGTTCACCGTATAAAAAATTTTTTTGGACAAAATTTGTAGAGAATTTTGTATTCTACTACATTGATAAATACAAATAGCAAAAAACCCATAGGAAATGAGATATTTCCAAAAAAAAACGCAAAAAAATGATTTTTGTGACCTTTGACCTTGAAATTTAATAGTTGCTTACACCCTACCATATGTAGGTTTTGAGGCAACTTTAAGGGTGTTAATATAGAAGTATTTACAGACTTACAGCTGGGTATCTCGAATTCCGAGATTCTTACCTAATTTAAGCTTAAATGACTGGATTATACCCCGAAAATGTAAAATTAACCGGATTGTGACTTAAATATAACTGATTTGGGAAAAAACTTTGGAATTAGAATGTGATTAATAGTATCGTAGTTGTTTTGATACAAAGATACTTAGATGTTAGATATTACATTTCTTTATCGATTATGTCAATTGTACTCTTATATTAAATTCATTTTGTTACCTACTGCTTTCATATACACATATACAAGTAGCTTTTGCAGCTACTTCTGTGTTTTTTCCGTGTTTATTCACCACTTATCTTAATTTATGGAGTTACTGTATTTTCAAATGAATTTTTGTATGTATTTATATGTTGCTTACTGTGAATAAACCTAATTATTATTATATTATTATTATTATTAATATTTTTTCATTGAATTACAATTCAGCACTATTCTGCAACTGGACTCAAATAAATGTTTTGTTACAGGTGTGGTTTCAAAACCGAAGAGCTAAATGGAGAAAACAAGAAAAAGTAGGCCCCTCAGGTCATCCGTATAACCCTTACTTGAATCCAACTGCCAGCGGTCCAGCAACTTCAGTTGTCCCCCCAACATTGCCGAATCCTTTCAACTTACCATTCGGTCTTAGAAAGCCCTTCGACTCGCTCACATTCCGGTATCCTCCCCACGTTCTTCCTGGTTATCTTCCCTCTCCTCCAGGTTACCATAGAGGAGGACCGCCACTTTTACCGCCATCCGTCGGTTTGTATCCCTCAGCTAGTTCCTTCCAGACACTTCTGGCTAATATATCCGCCGCTCAAAGGCCGAAGCAGGAATATTCTGCGTCACCGCCACTATCTCCCGGGTCATCCTCCTCGGGGATTACTCCTCCAGATGTTGACAGGAGAAGTTCCAGTATCGCTTCTTTGAGGCTGAAGGCGAGGGAGCACGAGCTGCGATTGGAAATGCTCAGGCAAAACGGCGATATGATAAGCTGAACAGGATGATTGTTGGGTGCCAGTTTATGGAGTGTTTTTACAATTTGAGGTGGCATGTTGAGAGGGACCTATTAATCAGAAAAAATTCAAAATATTGCATGGGCTGGAAAGTCCAGAGCCTTAGAAAACCTTAGAGCCTTGTTCAAAATTGGCTTTATCACGTCCAACCTGTATGTATGTATCTTAGTTTCCAGGTTTTGGAACGTATTTGAAGGGGGATTAGGTATGGCAAGTAATGTGTCTGCTCTGGTAGGGCCGTGGCTTACTAAAGATTTCAACACACTAATTACAACAATGTTGATCAAATAATTTGGGCGCCAAGGGGTTTTTGAAGCACTTGCTGTTTAAGAAAACACTAAGTTAACTACTTAGCAGTTCCCTGCCCAACAAAAATGAATTGTTAAGAGTTATTGAATATATATTACTACTATATGAAAACAATATAGACAACTTACTACACTGATACTGGTTCTTACCTTATACAGCGTGACTCACGGTCGATGGTAGGTTAGACGTTTCTGGAAAACGCAAAGCATGATTTTTCTGAAAATTTCACCTCTCACATTTCCTTACCTGTTCTATCGATCTAAAATATTTTCAG